AAAAGTATTAGTATCAGTGAAGAAAACATAAGTCTCCTACTATGCCACTAAAAGTCATTGACAACGTTCAAATCAGTTCAAAGAACACTAGATATTGGGCATTTCACAAGAAAATTTGAAAAGCTGTGAAATTTTATAGCTCATATGTGACAATATCTTGATAAAGGCTGTCCTTAATTGGACAATTGTAAAAATTTACTTGATAAAATGTGAAGAAAGTTCCTCTGAACTTTTCCTTTTTAATAGTAAAAATTAATTTTAATCCACTATAATATTCTCTCTATGCAAACACTTCTGCCAAATTATCTTCACATGAAGCAAGGATCAAAAAGCACAAAACAAAACCTGTGGGGGCAAACGTTACTGAGGTGTGTCAGGAAATTTATATTGTATTATTGTTATACATTTCATAATGTTTGTATTTGTCATCTCTTAAAACTTTATAAATTGTCCTTTCTTTTCTCATTAAAAATTTTTAATTTTTTGTCTAATTTTGTACTTTTTTCTCTAAGAGGACCCAACTCTTAAGCACCTGCACTCGCTCCAATGACGTCCTCTCCCACCACCTCTCAGTTTCGTATCACTGGTAACCACGTCACCAATAAAGCCAACCCCGACATCCTCTCCTCTGACTACTGACTCCTACCCTCACAGCTTGCTTGGTCTGCAGGCCACAGAACTAAGGTATGTCCTTGCCAGAATGCTTGTCTTCCTCAATCCCCTAATTATGGATTGACTTTATCTAATAAATGTAAAAGGAAGAAAAGAAGCAGGAAGTCATTTTTCATAATTTGCTCTGAAATAACCAATTTTGACAAGAAGCATCATTGATACATACTAAAGCCAGAGGTGAAAAGGTATTTGGAACAAGTTATGTGCATGATGTCCAAGCACCACCTCATAGATTACTTGCCAATTGCAAAGGGATAAATGTGCCCTTACAATGGAGACTACCCTATCAAGCTATTAAACTTATAATTTATAACAGAGTGACAACCTGGCATTTATGTCCCAATATGGCGCAACATGAAGTATATAGCATCAGCCCTACAGAGATAGAGAGTACGCTTGCCAAAAAAATCCAGTTTAGTCTGAATCTAATCAAGCCTATAAACCTAACTTTCAGTTTTCAGAAATGTAAAGGTAAGAAGGACAAGCTAAAGAACCTCAAATACACATACAGGATGTGGGGAGTTCTAAAGAACAAGAGACCTGATCTCTTCAAAACATCAATGTGGTGGAAAAATTAAAAGCTAGAAGGACTGTCCCAGAGTAAAGAAGAACAAAGAATTAGAACAATCAAATGAGCATGTGAACTGTGGGCCCTGAAACAGTGATGAAAGACCTTCTGAACACTCGGGAAATTCAGATATGTTCCAACTACTAGGCGACATTAAGGAATTACCGTTAACTTTCTTTAATATGACAATGGTAATGTGGTTATGTAAAAGAATATATTTTTAAGAGCTGCATCTGAGGTTTTAGAGGTGAAATTATAATGCCAACAGCTTGTTTTCAAATAGTTCTGCAAATTTTTCCTTATATTTAAAAACTTTTAAAAAGCGAAACAAGTAGAAAAAAAAAATTAAATATCTTTTTCTCTCATTTGATAACCTAACCTAGCAACATAGTAGTATCCATAGCCAACATTTTCAGCCAGGTAATGTTTTCAGAACTGCCTTATTATACCAAGTACAGCTGACCCTTGAACATGGGTTTGAGGACCACAGGTCCACTTCTGAGCAATTTTCCCCACCTCTGTTACCCATGAGACAGTAAACCCAGCCCCCTCTTCTTCTTTCTCCTCAATGTAAAAATGAGAAGGATGAAGACCTGTATGATAATCTACTTCCTCTTAATGTGCAAGTGTATTTACTCTTCCTTACGATTTTCTGAATGTCTTCTCTTCTCTAGCTTACTTTACTGAAAGAATATAGTATATAATACATGTAACCTACAAAATCCATGTTACTCAGCTATGTCTGTTATTCATAAGGCTTCTGATCAACAACAGCTATTAAATTTGGGGGAGAGTCAAAGGTTATACACAGATTTTTGACCACAAAGGGGCCAGTGCCCCTACCCTACATTGTTCAGTGGTCAGCTGTAATTTCCTAGGGCTCAAATGCCTGGCCTGCTGAATTAGTGCTTATCAGTGGCTTATGGGGGTATTCAGACTGCTAATCATCACTCAGGATGAAAACATCACACAAGAGCAAAGGGAGGTGGGGAATAGAAATCAAGCAAACAAAATTAAGTAACAGCTGATTTCTCCCTAAAATTTCTCCCTAATTTTAGGAAGAAAAAGAAACTAAGTATGATTCAGGTGAGAAGTACACTTCCAGTAATTTATTTCATAATAAAAAAGAAAAGTTATTTTTGTTGTTTACAAAGAGATAATTCATATGACTCCTTAAAACTCTCTAATTAACAGAGAAAGTAAATAATATCTCCATTTTACAGATGAGGAAACTGCAGCTAGGAGAGGCTGGATGATTTGCCTAGGGCCCCACAGCTAGTGGGTGAGACTGGGATCCCTCACACTTGACCCCTGTCCTCCTGCATAGTCAGTGAGCAGCTGTCTTACGTGGGTGACACTCCCTTCTCTGAGCTTCAGTTTTCTGCCTAGACAGCCTAAGGCTCATGTGAGAAAAGACAGAGGTTCACAAGTTAGAGCTAGAAAGTAAAACTGGGCATCAGGTCCCCCTTACTCTGTCAACTGAGTGTGGCAGGGGTGGGTGGTGGGGAGGGGCAAGAGCCCAGTCTGTGAAGGAGGCTCCTGGGCAGTGGCTGGCACATCTCCCTCCTGGGCCACCTCTGGAGCAGGGACACCTCCTCAAACACGACCACCTGACAGGGTCCCAGGAAACAGAAGGAAATGGAAATATGCTGAGAGGCAGAGCAACCACTAAAATAAAACACAGGAGAACTGAAAAAAGTAAAAGCACCAGATAAATGAGTGTGATGTCCTCACTCTGGTGGTCAAGTCCAGGCCTCTCTTACCCCTCACCATGCCTAACGGCTGCCTGTGCAGAGGGGTCTTCCTTCATGAAACTCCATAACTGGGGGACATTACTAATTCCAAGGCTTTCATAAAACAGTGAGGCCCACCAAACCCTTTGCTTTGGCAGTTTTTTTTCCTCCCAAAGGATAGCTCATTTAATCCTTCAATAAAGCAGGCTTTATTCTTAAGATTTAATGTTTCCCCAATGAAAATTCTAATTGACAACTACCCAGAGAATAACAATCCAGAGCAAAGAGAGCTCTGGTTACACCCATTCTTCCCAGATCCAGCCCAAAGGAGGGCTCACCGCTCGGGTTTCCTGGACCGGGGTCAGCTCAGTCTTTATTTGGATATAGACATAAGCAGAGGCTTACAAACTAGAAGTTTTCATCCAAAGCACTCAAGTCTTAAAAACCAAAACAATTATTCTTTTAAACTTCAAAGACAGGAAATTTCATTTAATTTCCAGGCTCAGAATATCAGATCCCCCTACACAGAATAAGCATATTACACACAAAAAATGCAAGGATGCCTTTTCCAGATAAAGTGGGGTAGGGGCTAAAAAAATAAAATAAAATGCATGATGAGTTCTTCAGAAATAGCTGTATGAGAATACTGAAAGTGCTGTTATTCAATGGATTCATGACAAGATACAAGTTCAAGTACCAGAGGGAGTTATTTTCATATTAATGTTGAGTGTCGCCAGTTACATCCAAAAGCTTATCTTCTACACAGAGAACTAAGTCACGGGGAGTAGCCAGGGGAGCAGTGATTGATAAGGTAAGAAGAGGGCCGTTCAAACAAGGAGCTGACTTTAGCGGACCTTTCTTCAGAGAAAAGTTTGAAGATTTTGTTAGGCTTTCCACTCTGAGCTGCCACAGTAGCAGTACAACTGTAAATGAGTGGCACTCAGGGGCCACATCACTACCAATTATAGGCCAGCTGCCAATGGCTGCCTGTGACAGCAAATTAGCATGAAAGCAGGATTTGAGGTTACCAGCTGACACACAGCCCAATGAGAACATTCTAAAATAAGATATCCAACACAGACACAGAAATAATACCCAAACAAAATCTCTTGTCTAAAAATAATAGGAGCAAAATCTAAAACAAACAGAAGAACTCCTCCTCCTTTCTGGATCCTCCTGAGTCTCCCCCACCTGCAGTGTCTTAGTCTCCCACTCCCCAATAAAAATAAATAAGCAAACCAGGCACTTCCAGGTTACATAACGCAGATTAAGGGAAGGAAAGCTGGTGGAAGAGATGGAAATATAACACAATTCATCTTCCTTTCTTGAAACAAAAAGCAGAGAAAGGAACCAAGGGGAGAAGGTGCAGAACTCAGGAGGCCTGAATCCTCCCTCACCAGCCCCAGGTCCACCACGTGCTGTCTGAGGAGATCTCCATGTCCTCGTCAGAGAAGGAGGATTCATAGAGGTCAGCGGTTTTGACACAGTGCTCCTTGGAGCCCTGGGATTTTGTGGAGGTGCCTCTGAGGCAGCCAGCCAGGAGTCAGGTGAATGAAGTGCCTCAAGCTTTCCCTCAACCCAAAAAAGTTCAGAGTTGATCCATTTTATATACCAGGTTCTGACTAAAGCCTTTTGTTTAAGGAGTTCTATTTCCCAAGCTAATATGGCTTAAATGCTTTAGAACACACCTTGTGTGGTTTCTATGTGCCTCTTTGGATTACTGTTATTAAAATTAACTGGCTGACTGGCTGGTTAATATTGATCCCCAAATCTATATATTAGGTTCCTTATCCTACTTAAAAGGTGAGGAAACTGTAACTCAGATATACCCTCAAATTCCAAGCTTATAGTCAACAGGAGTCAAACCCAGGAATGTCTGATTAATGTCTGATAATGTCTGATATTAAGCTTGATTCTGTCCTTAGAAACTTCAGGTAAAAAAATAATTGGTTACCCCATTATTATTGCAAGTCTTTCTCCATTCAACACTGGGTTTTTCACATTTTTTTCTGAGAGTAAACACTTACCCTGGGGAAAATAAGTGAATGGCCACAAGTTCGGCCCAACACGCAAATCTGTTGGGTACAGGAAAGCCCAAAACGTTGACAAAGCCTCCAGGGAAATAATGGTTGTTAAGAACTTTCAAAGCAAACAAAACTCCTAAAAGGGAATAAAGAACACACAAATATCAACAATCCAAACGTGGAAAGAAAACGAACTAAGAAGTGAAATTGATTATCTGTTTATATACAACTTTGCTTTAAAATATACTCTATTCCTTGGTAAGAAGAAAATGTTCAAGAAAATGTTTTGATGGTCCTTAATATGGAAATTCACACTAGCTTTCAGCATGCTACTAAATATACAACACATAAAACGGGAATAAAACACCAACAATGGTACTAAATACACACTTTAAAAGTTAACGTTATGCTATAGAAATGTGAACACAGTGAAAAATCCCAGTAGCATGTGATTTTCTAATCTCTATGGAAAGGAGTGTGGAAGGCAGGGCATGGTCTTTTTTATCCCACAATTAGACACAGGAGGGGGCCTCTTGGAGGAAAGGGGGAAGGGTGGTAGGGAGGGAGAGGGAAGGAGCTGATGTCCTATGTCAGGCCCACCTCCCTCCTCTCCATCACATTCTGATATTTAGAATACCTAATTTAAATCCCAAAGGCAATTTCAGCCCCATGAAATATCTGTAAATTAAGAATTAGTGAGGAAAAAAATGAGAGGCAAAGCATCGTATGGTCAATGTCACGCAGACTGGATTCAAATCTTGCTGTACCCCTTACTAGCTATGTAACTTTGAGCTTGGAACCTCTCTTCTGTGGGTCTTGGCTTCCTCAGCTGTGAATCAAGACTGTGCTATATCCTGTGGATCTGCTGTGTGACTCAAACAGCATGAGTTATGCAGAGTGACTCTCAAGGCCCCTGCAATGCCGTGGGCAGCCAGCACAGGGTGTAGCTCCCTGTCAGGATATGCAGGACAGCTTCCCATGTGGCCTCGGACCTGTGCAGGTCTCTGCTCACTTCCTCATTTGCAGGTTTCAAAAATGACTATGGAATGTGCAAGAAATGCAGCATCCCGAGATAAAGATGAGCTAGCCCAAACAGCCCCGCTCACTTCTCAAACAGGATGTCCCTCAAAGCTTCGGCCAGTGACTCAGGTGCTCCCTAGGTTTACAACCTGGGCTGGGCTGGCTTTTGGGGTCCCTCATCCATGGTACGAGTAGGGCACACAGAGTCAAGATTCCATCAGCCCCAGGCAGCTTTTGGAGCCTTCAGGGACTGGCTGACAAGGAATCCCAGTCTTCTGTTGTCCTTTGCATCCTGGAAGTAACCAACCTGCTTCCCGTAACTAGTTGCCTACTCAACCTGCTTACTCAACCTGCTTCCCATAACTAGCTGCCTAGCTGTTCTGTTGTGTCTCACCAGACCCAGTCGAGCTGGTAACCAGGACACGTGAACCTGCGTCACGAGCATGTGTGTCATTTTGAGAACTCCTTATTACAAACACACCTGGTGTCTCTCTGCAGCTCTCCTGATGGGGCTGGTGCATACCTCTAATATTGCCTGTTCTATAAAACCACTGCCCAGCCTCACCTAGACTATCCAAAAGTGATCGTCAAAGTAACATGAAACAGCAAAAATTAGTCCCTCCTACACTCCGATCAGCAAAACCTCAGCACCCTCAACCACTCAGAATTTAGTCCCCTCAGCATACTTCATAAAACAACAGCCGCCACACTCCCTGGCTGCCTTCACACGTGCCACCATGGAAAACTGTCAGCCTCACCTGAGAAACCAACCGCACAGCTCCTTCTGAGCTCAGGTTCACGCATAAACTCAGCAAGAGCAAACTGCAAGAGCAGGTACACCAGCCCAGTGAGCAGGGAAAATGTGGCGATGACACAGGCAAACCATCGACTTCCCAGTCTTCTTTCCAGATTGATTCCTTTCCAGAGCATGGACACCATGTTGAAATACAAATGCCAGTCGTCGGCATGGTGGAGGGGAGACAGCAGCAAGCGCTGCCAGTCCCTGTGCTCGTAACACTTCTCCACGCTGAGGCAGGAGTTGTGCAGCGGCTTCAGGGGATTCAAGAAGAGCCAGCTGTTGAGAGCCAAAGTTGCCAGAGTGACAGGTGGAATGTTGTTGATCCCAACATGGATGACTTGAGAGAGGAGCAGAAGCAGCCCGCTATGAATCCCTCTTGATCTGCGCTGCATGGTTAGCTCTCAGGAAAACAGTCCCGTCAAGGAAAAACGTGATCAGGTTTTAGGTATCTGGAGAGGTATCCAGAAAACGTGATCAGGTTTTAGGTATCTGGAGAGGTATCCAGAAAACGTGATCAGGTTTTAGGTATCTGGAGAGGTATCCAGACAGCTGAACCTAAAGCAAAAACACCCGTGCAAACCTTTCAATGAAGAATTACCAAATGGGTAAGACATATGCACTTAAAGATGAGATCATACCAGGGAGATGCTACTTCCCACTCTAACAGAAATTTCATGTTCACTGTCTTCCAGAGGAATACCCAGGATGCTCGCTGACGCTCTTCCTTCATTTTACATTCCAAAATAGAAATTTTATCCTAAATCCTAACGAACCAGTTAATGAACAGGTATGACTTCTCTGACAAATATAGTCATGAAACTATAACTGATTTCCTTATAAATAAACTTGTAACCTAATGAAAAACCTGCAAAGATACTATGAAAAACCAACAAAGTTATTGAATAATGATTTCTACTCAAACTCCTGGCCAGGATTCTTTGCCTGCTCCATTTTTAAAAGAAATATTTGATTTTGATATATTACAATGAGTTGCTCCAAAATTTTTAAAGTCAACAAGCAAGTTTTAAGATACATACATTATCTTCTATTCCAATTTCTATATTGCCAGTTATCAATTGCCTGTTTTGTTTTGATAACACCTTTAGCTTTTAAAAGTTACCTACTATGTGCCAAATCCTAGATGGAAACAGTCTTTGTTTCTTTTTTTTTATTTTGAGACAGAGCCTCAAGCTGTCCCCCTGGGCAGAGTGCCGTGGCATTACAGCTCACAGCAACCTCCAACTCCTGGGCTCAAGCGAGTCTCCTGCCTCCACCTCCCAAGTAGCTGGGACCACAGGCGCCCGCCACAATGCCCAGCTATTTTTTGGTTGCAGCCGTCATTGTTGTTTGGCGAGTCTGGGCTGGGGATTCGAACCTGCCACCTTAGGTGTACGTGGCTGGCGCCCTAGCCCGTTGAGCTATAGGCGCCGAGCCACAGTCTTTGTTTCTTAAGAGGCTCACTTTCCACCAAGAAGTCAATTACCAACTGCCATACAATATTCTAAAGCCAGTAGGAGAGGAAACCCAAGGCACAGGCCCCAATTACCCTGAGGTGGCAACAATGGCTAAGGTCTTGAAGGGTGAATTGGAGTTATGGAGAAGGGGACAAGACGAAGCTCCATGACTCAGTAAGTCTTCCTCCCCAGCCCTTGGACCTGGGCTAACACTGGGACACACTTTGGTTGACAGTGCAGGGAAGTGATACCACATGAGCTCTGAGTCTAGACCTCAAGATGATCTATAAACTTCTCTCTCTTAAAACCTCTGCAGTAACCAGGTGGACAAGTCTGGGCCAGCCTGGTGGATGATGAAAGAAAGACAGAAACTCCAGTAGCCCTGATGGTCCTGGTCATTAGGTAGCAACTGCCCTGAAAGCAAAGCTGTCCAGCTGAGCCTATCCTTGCCTGCTGATCCAAAGAACACTGCGCTAAACAAATGGGACTTGGTTTACGCCACAGACTTGGTGCAATGGGTTATACAATTACTTGTAAAGAAGGTATCTGCTCTGGGGAGCGCCACCATTTGGATGTTTGCCTCCCCAAAGCACATGCTAAAATGTGATCCTTAAAGTAGGAGGTGGAGCTTAGTGGGAGGTGTTTGGGCCACAGGGTGAATCCTTTATGAATAGATCAACACCCTCCCAGGGAGCGGTACCCCCCACCTCCCCAGTCTCTCTTGCGTCTTCTCCTGCCATGTGATCTCTGCAGGGGCAGCTCCCATTCACCTTCCACTGAGAGAGGAAGCAGCCTGAGGCTCTCACCAGATGCCTAACGTTGAAACTTACAGCACTGCCTCTCGGCCTTTGGCTAACACCAAGTAAAACTTAGAGCCAGCAGAACTGTGAGCTAAATAAACCTTTTCTTTCTGTTTAATAAATTACACAGCCTCGTGTACTCCTTTATGGCAATACTAAAAGGACTGAGACAGGAGGGAACAGTTTATGCTCATGGGAAAAAGCTAATAAAAAAAAGAGGGTGACAGAGACATAGACTAAAGATGAAAGTGATAAAAAAAATCAAGTGTGTGGAGGGAAGATCCTTTTACTTTTAACAGAAAGAAAAAAATATATCAGGTAGATATGGATAAAGAGGCAAATTAAGGGACAGGATATTTAAAAAGTTCTCACCTCGTAGTTTCTGTTTTCTGCATGGAGATTTCTTGGTCCTCAAACCAAATAAGTAACTTACTCTAATACTGCAAGGATTCTAACTCAGACAGCACACTGGAGAATGCATGAGTTTTAGAGTAATGAAGGGCAGGATTCTCCTACTTACCAGCTCTGCGATGGAGAGCAAATTTTAAACTTAAACTTTCTGAATTTCTTCAGTTTAAACTGGAATGATAACACGCCTTTGCCAGGGTTACTGTAAGAAGCATGAGAAAAAAAATGTGCTGAATAAATGGTGGCTACTATTTTCATTTCTATAAAGTAATCTCATTTATGTGAATATTATTTCCTTTGGAAACAGTAGCATTTTAATAAGGTTCAAATGTAGTTCCTATACCCCCGTATGAATTCTTATCAACATCACACCAAAGCAACTCCTGGAGAAAGTATGCATACATGTGCACAGGAAGGTACACGCACACCCTGATATTAGCACAACCCAAGTTTCTTTATTGACGAGGGTTGTTATTATTGTATCTCTATAAGAGCATTCTTACAAAGCAGAAAATTCAATGACATTTCAACTGAAATGCTCCCAAATAACTTTAGAGCAATGATTTTTTTGCAATTCCCCTAATTTTACTTATATGCACACACACATATATATGCATATGTATATATATCTCATATATATATCAAACATCATTACCTATAATAGGAGCAGTAGAAAAATATGGACTCAGCTAATAAGAAACCACAAAATATGGATGGCGCCTATGGCTCAAAGGAGTAGGGCGCTGGCCCCATATACCAGAGGTAGTGGGTTCAAACCCGGCCTTGGCCAAAAACTGCAAAAAAGAAAAGAAACCACAAAATAAAACCTTAAACATCAGTGCCAACAGTGTCCTATGATGCTGGGCCATATGTAACAGAAAATAAAAACCAGGTACATCCTTGCTTAAGAAAAGGTCCCCCTTGATTGGAATCATTAGTGATAAAGAATATAAACAAAAAAGACAGACTTCCCAGTCTTACTTTCCACTGTGTTTTCAGGCTCGTGTTATACTTTCCCTTACTTCTGGCCAAATCCAAAGGTCTCTTTTCATTTGCACCCCTTCTCTCCTCCCAGCTCCACTGCCCCACTGCTGAGCTCCCAAGGGACGCCTCACTCGCTGAACACATCTCTCCTCCTTCCAAGTCCCTCCCCTTTGCCTGCTGTTCACTCTTCCTCTATTTCCCCCATATATGTATATATACACACACTCAAGGACCTCCCTTCTCATGGTTTCTGTAAGTCTTTTTATCAGAATGATTTCCCCCATATATATATATACACACACATATATATATATA